ACACACACACACACATATATATATACACACACACACACACATATATATACACACACACACACACACACACATATATATATACACACACACACACACACACATATATATACACACACACACATATATATATATACACACACACACACACACACACACATATATACACACACACACACACACACATATATATATACACACACATATATATATATATACACACACACACACACACACACACATATACACACACATACACACACACACATATATATATACACACACACATATATATATATATACATTTTAGCCATTTATTCCCTAGTGAAAAGTTTCAATTTTTTTTTTCAAAAGGGTATTTCTTGTCTTCCCATTTCACAAAAAAAAATGATTACATCAGAATTCTCTAACTAAGAAATTATATTTCACCCACCACTATCATTCTGATCAGGAACAGCTGCAACTGTGACAGGAACAACAGCCATGGTTGTTTGTGGAGTAGTGAATGTTACTGTGGGAAGTTCTTTTGTAAGACTGTATGTAGTGGTAACAGGTATTCCAATCGGCGCAGGACCAGTAACAAGAAATGTTGATGATGACACTGTTGTAGGTCTTGTTGCTAGGACACTATGTGCAACAGATACTGTTGGAAGAGTAGAAGATGCCAAACCAATAGGAAAAGAAACCATACCTCCACCATATAGACTACTAACAGTTGGAAGGTGAGTTGGTGCCAATGGTGCTGAAGTTGACACTGGAATTCCACCTCGATATAGAGAAGTTAAAATTAGCAATTAACTTAAGTCTAACATTTTTTTTTGTGTTTTACGATAATTTATGTGTAATCAGATCCATAAAAACCATTTTTGAACATAAGTACTGCGCATTCATTGATGTGCTTAGTAGCACAAGAGCCCAGAGGAGTTTAGAGAGCACCAAGAACAATGTCAAAAGTGCAAAACTAATCACAGGTAGTGAGACAAAGGTTCTGCTAAAAGTCAGTAACCAAACTTGGCAAGTATCTTTGTTAAACAATTTTAATGTATTATCAAAATATACTGTATTTAATTACTACTCTATAAACCAGAAAATTAAAGATTATTGCCAGCACGATGTTTAACTACATATTAAGTGATTAGTACATAGCTAAGTTAACTTGATTGAACTGAAGCCTCAGTCTATTAAAAACAACTGATAGTAATTTTATGACTTTATCTTTGCATGTTTTTCATGTATTAGTGAAGCAAGAAGTTTGGAAGCCAGAAATTTATATTCTGACTTACAAATGTCTATAGCCTAAGTGTGTTATTGTTGAGGAACTCAGGGTAGAGAGAAAATCTAAAATGAGCAATATAGAGCAATATATGCATCATATAATAAAGAGAAGTGAGAATTAAGAATTAGTGTAAATATTTCCTTTTGAAATTAAAAAATTAAAACTTTGAACTATAAACTACATTTTGGTGCCAGGTCTATTAAAATACATTGATTGTTGTTTAATTAAATCTTGAATGTAATGGTAAAAAGATTGTGACTTATACACCTTGAATATTCAGCTAGTACATAAAAGCTTTTGGAGTATAGACAATAGCAAACAGTTTCATTTATCTACTGTATAAAACTCTGGACAATGATTTCCAGGTAATGTATGAAAAAAAAATATATGTAAATTAAATGAAGTTTGACATTATTGAACTTCTTGCTTACCAAATCTTTTACGGTCAAGCTCAGAAAGTATTTTGTTATCCTGTTCTAGTTTAGCCATCAGAAGATCAAGTTCTTTTCGAGTAACAGATGATCCTAAAATATGCATAAGAGAAAGTGTAAGTGTACATTATAAGATTTAAAATTTAAGGCTTATGAAATTACACTAAAAGAATTTATTCTTACAAAAAAAAACAAACCACGACAGGCAAGATTAGAAGATTCCACACAAATTGGACACATAGAAAATGGAAATAATAACTGGTGCATTAACGATACAGTTTATAGGATTCTCTCTCTCTCTCTCAGATATTGTGGCAAAATCTCACTTTCATCACAAGCGGTAAAAATTATCTAACAATTCAATAAACAATGACCCATAATTTTCAATGTGCAACTAAAAAAAAGAAAAACACAGACTGTTGAATTGACCCTTGGAGGTCATTGTAGTAAAAATACATCAGAAATCATTGGAATTATTATTTCTCATAAGTTTTACCACAAAAAAAGGTGAATTTTTACTCAAATAATTAAGTAAAAAGGTCGAAAAAAAACCACTAAAGAAACTAAATAAATGCAATTTTAATTAACATGCTTAAAAAGTAACATATTTCTTTAAAAAAAGTAACACTATGATAAAAAAAGCCTTTGAAGTGTTAAAAATTGGATTAAATATTTTGTAATCAACTTATAAGGTAAACCAACTGAAAGAATAATAACTTTCATTAAACACCAGTTTCATAAAACACTAGTATCATAAAACACCAGTTTCATAAAACACCAGTATCATAAAACCCTACTTTCATTAAATACTACTTTCATTAAACACTAGTATCATTAAACACTACTTTCATAAAACAGTTTCATTAAACACTACTTTCATCTCATTAAATGAGGTATGAGTAAAATGTTTATGTAGAAGCTCAAATTTCTTTTGAAATAGAATACTAATGAAACAGTCAAATTAGTACAATGACGCAGGTAGATCATCACAGTGGTATACTTACTCCTGACCCCCCTGTACCTAGCTAGCTGTGAGTTCACTTGTTTATAACTCTGTGGTTCAACCAGCAGTTGGTCAATCGCAGGAGAAGAAAAAGAAGGCTCTATCCACAGGCAGCAAAAAAAATAGTAGTAGGAAGTGATAAGGAAAGCAGAAATTTTACATCAGGCGAACAAAATGATGTCAAACAACTCAGGTGCAAGAAAATATATATACTTACAAAGGTATAAAACTGACTTGCAAGGTGACAGATATTAGCAAAGATATGAAAAAAAAACCTGGCTTGTAAGGTTGCAGACAATGGCAAGATAACAAATTCATCACTTGCAAGGTAGCATAGAAGATGGGAAACACTGGAAAGAAAACTCAACTGGAGGTTTTAAGGAACAAGCACTTTAAAATGTATTAAAGCTTTCGTCTGAAAATGACTGAAAAATGTTAGTTAAGTGTCTTGTTGTGTCTGAGAAATGTTAAAGCTGATAATTAAGAGATCAAGCTCTGCCTGAAAAAGAATGAAAACTAATGGTTAAACGGCAAAGTTTTCATATATATAAATATATTTACCACAGTATTTTTTATTTTATTTTCTTTGATGTTTTAGTTTTAAGAATGCTAAAGGAAATGTGTATTTGTTTCTTAATTAAAGAAATAAATATTCTACCTTCACACAGAGCCTGCTATTCTAACTACTCTCCATTGAGTTTAGTTTAAAAGCTTCTACAAATAGATTTGAAAAATACAAGTATATTATATTTCCAGATCAACTTACTATTCTGTCACTGGCAGTGAGTAATAAACACATTATTATGAGAACAAACGTCTACTAGTGATAGCATTGCACAATATTAAATGATGGATATCTTTAACTAAATGCTGATATTTTTAGCTGAAGAATGAAAAAGGATTTGACTCAGTGATCAAAATAAAAATAATTTGATATCCTCGTTGGATGAAACAGTTTTTTTTTGTTCAGGATTTCAAGCTTTCCATCACTTGGCCATTTTGGATGTTTACGTTCTTAAAATATTTAAATGTTCTTGGAAAAATACAACAACAAACAATAACAACATAAATTAGTGTATAATGCTAAAGCCCTTTTTTTAAGCAAGTTACAGCTCTTACAATAAGGAAGAGTACTTTCTAAATTGCGATCATTTTCAAGTGCTTAAAATATCGTTCCTGTTTAAAAGAATATTCTTCCTTACTGTAAAAGCTGTAACTTGTGAAAAAAAAAAGCTTATAATCATTAAGTAAACTCAAACAAATTTAATGCTGAAGCTAGTTATCATGACAATCCTCTTAGCTGAAAAATATTTTATACATCACAGTCATACTGCTGATAATTCTTTAATTATCTTTATCATTTATCCAATATGGGCTTCTACAAAAAGGTGCAGTAGTAATACTTCAATTAAACTTTGTTTTAGAGATGAGTACAGAATATTAGTTAAAAATTAACTAAAATTCATTCATTTTTGGAACTTTGATGCAAAGACTCTGATAATAGTTTTGGCACTTCCACATAACCCCCCCTCCTCGGTTACATAGTGTCTCTGCTCAATCAAGAAAGGGGGTCATGTGGAAATGCCCAAACTAATATAGAAATATTTGTGTCACGTTTCCAGAAAAGTATGGATTTTAGTTTAATTTTAAATAATTTTTGTTAAACACCAAAAACCACAGTTTAAAAAACATCAAATATGAGCAGTAAAATTAAATACAGTCAATTAAATGCACATACGAAGTAACAGAAGCTTCTTATAAATCTTTAGATACAGTCAACATACAGTCAGTGCTTTAATATGCTGATTAAAATTAATTAAAAACCATAGTAGAAACACAGATGTGGAAGGCTATGATTATAATGCTCAATTTTAGATATGAATTTTTGGTGCTAATGATGTTTTTCATTTCACAAATCTAAAATTAGCTGAGGAGAATTCTGCCAACAGATGTACACAGTTGTTATAAACCTACTCCTAATAAGGTTTAGGATATTTCAATACAAATTCACACACTGTTAAAATATTTCAGAAAAGTTACAAAAAATTAACCTGGAAACCACGTAAATTCCTTTCTCACTTTAACGGCTTGCAAAGAAACAAAAATCTTGTGTGACCCCCTGAAGTAACGGCTTGCAAAGAAACAAAAATCTTGTGTGACTCCCTGAAGTAATGGCTTGCAAAGAAACAAAAATCTTGTGTGACCCCCTGCAGTACATATTTTACATGTGTAGTAAATATCTTAAGCTATTGAACATTAGGTTTTGTATACATTTATATATATGTGTGTGTCTATATATACGTCCTCTTTCTTGTACTTAATATACACGTCCTCTTTCTTGTACTTAATATATACGTCCTCTTTCTTGTACTTAATATATATATGTCCTCTTTCTTGTACTTAATATATATGTCCTCTTTCTTGTACATAATATATATGTCCTCTTTCTTGTACTTAATAGATACGTTCTCTTTCTTGTACCTAATATATACGTCCTCTTTCTTGTACTTAACATACACGTCCTCTTTCTTGTACTTAATATATATGTCCTCTTTCTTGTACTTAATAGATACGTCCTCTTTCTTTTACCTAATACATACGTCCTCTTTCTTGTACTTAACATACACGTCCTCTTTCTTGTACTTAATATATATGTCCTCTTTCTTGTACTTAATATATATGTCCTCTT